AATGGTTGCCAGTGCATTCCATGGCACCGAGCCCACTGCTAGGGCCACAGAAGCCACTCAACAAGGTAGATCTTCAACTTAATTTCACTGTTAAAAGCACAGTCTCCAAAGGAGTCGACTTGGATAGCCTGTGAGAAATTAGGATGCACATTCAGCAGTGGTGGAGGACGAGAAGAGGGGGTGTGAGGAAGACAAAGAAAGAACACTGTGAATGTAGGTCCCTCGAGAGCAGGAGACACGGCTTTGTAGGGTGTATTTCCACCCCACCAAGATAAGCAGACGGCGAAGAATAACAAATACGAGAACAACATCATATCAGAGATCTGCACAACCTTTCTGTGCGAACAGGAGAGGGAGAGTGGCCAGTTCTCTCAGCAGGTGGAAGACTGTTAAGAAAAGGAAGAGAGGTGAGTGCAGGGCCACAGGGCCAACCATCTGAGAGAAACTGGCCTCTACAGCTGAAAATACTTCTCACCCAAAGGGCAAACATCGGGTTTTGAGTTCATTTCCCTGTTTTGGTCGTGCCTTTCCTTAATGCAGCCCCCTCCCCGATAAACGACAACACATATTTGTAGCTGGGATAAAGGGATTGGGGATAGGGGCATGAAACAGCATGAGGGCAACCCGCCCAACCCAAGACACCAGAAACTCTGTCTCCTAAGTGCCACCTCCTTAGATGAGCAAATTCGCACCTTAAAAGGTAAATGTCTTGAGTAGCATTCTGTGGCTGCTGAAGAACAAACCCCAAGCTCCTCGGCCTGGTGTGTAAGGCCCCCCAGATGCCGGCTACGGGGTCATGTCAGCCCTGTGCCCCAGGATTTCCTGTACCCTTCTGCTCCAGCCAGACTGAATTACTTGGGTCTCCTGGACCTCAGGTATGGATGACCTGGAATTTTCTGGCGACCCACTATCTTTTGCTAATACTAGCCCCTCTGCTCAGAATACCCACTCCTCTGTCTCCATGAGTCTCATCCCTCAACTGTTGGCTGAAATGCCATCTCTGTCTATCAATCCATCCATCCATCAAAACCTAAACCAACTACACTGATTAAGTGTTTTTAGCTGCCAGGCACTGGGCTTAAATAAACAGGAATGACTAAGCCGAGGCTGCGGGAATAGCCAGGCTCTCTGAGATTGTGTACTTTCTGGTACCTCTCCTATGTTAATATTTTTTATCTTATATTCTTACTTATGTACTCATGTACATGATTCTTGAGACTGTTGGCAAGACATGTGCCGGATTCATTTGTGTCCTCCTCATTGTAGCCACGAAGCTCAATATAATGGCATCGACTAGGTGCTCAATATACACCTGTAGTAAGAATCAACTCCAGCTCAGCATCATGAAGCCTAAAAGCATGTCTGCACCATTCCTATCCCAGCATGTCTGCACCATCCCAGCCCCTGGCATGCAGGAAGCACTCGATACACGGGTGATGTGGGAAGATGCATTGAGGGAGAGCTCTCAGTGCCTTCTCTGCTAGGAAAAGTGTTCAGTACTTCATTCAAGGCCAACATAGGACCCAAACTGGAAACGTGGAGTTACACATCCACATGATACTGAAAGATAGCAGTATACGCCAGAGCATGAGAAACCCCCCTGTGACCAGTAATATTATACCACTCCCTATGAACTGAAATCAAGATTCTGTTCTGAGCCACATATTTAAAGAAAACATTCCAGTATCAACAAAATACCTTTCTCCAAACTAAGAAGGGTCATTCACACAGCAGCACTGGAGACAGGCCTAGGCTTTTGGTTATGTTCAGCCTTGTCCTGCCCACTTGGTAACCCAGCCAGTTCTTTTAACCACCCAGTGTCAAAGGTCAAAAGGCACAGGAAGACACTAACATAAAAGAAATTTTTAAAAGTCATTGCCTGGACTACCACTCAGCAATAAAAAGGAACACACTATTGATCTGTAAAAGAACTTGGATGAATTTCCAGAGAATTATGTTGAGTTAAAAAGGCCAATCCCAAAAGGGCATGTCTGGATGATTCCATTTATATAGACTCCTTGCAATTATAAAATTATAGAAATGGAGAACAGATTAGTAGATGCCAGGGGTCAGAAATGGGGAGTAGGAGGGAGGAGGAAAGGGGATGTGGTGATAGAGCTGTTCTGTATCTTGACTCTTGTCACTGTCAGTATCTTGGTTGTGATATTGTGTGATCGTTTTGCAAGATGTTACTATTGGGGGAAACTGGGCAAAAGATCTCTCTGTCTTATTTTCTGACAAGTACATGTAATCTACAATTACCTCAAAATAAAAGTTTAACTTTTTCCCAGTCTTGAAAAAGATGAACAAAGTTAAAGGACTCACACTTTCTGATTTCAAAACTTATTACAAAGCTATAGTAACGAAAACAGCGTGATATGGGTATAAAGACAGACATGTAGACCAGTGGAACAGAACAGATAGCCAGAAGTAAACCCTTGCATATCTGGTCAAATGATTTTTGATAAGGGTGCCAAGGCCATTAAATGGGAAAAGGAGAGTCTTTTCAACAAGTGATGTTGGGAAAACTGGATATCCACATGGAAAAGAATGAAGCTGGACCCTTACTTTATGCCATATATGAAGATTAACTCAAAATGGACTAAAGTTCTAAATATAAAACTGTTAGAAGAAAACATGGGTGAAAAGCTTCATGACATTGGATTTGGCAATGATTTCTTGGATAGGACAACCAAAGCACAGGAAACAAAAGAAAAAAAAAAGAAAAACTGGACTTCAAAGTTAAGAATTTCTGTGCATCAAAGGATACAATCAACAGATTGAAAAGGCAACCTATGGAATGGGAGAAAATATTTGCAAATCATGTATCTGATAAGGGGTTGATATCCAGAATATATAAAGAACTATAAATCAACAACAAACAACCACCTGATTAAAAAACGGGCAAAGGACTTGAATAGACATTTCTCCAAAGAAGACACACAAAGGGCCAACAAGCACAATAAAAGATGCTCAATATCACTAATCTTTAGGGAAAAGAAACTCAAATCCATAATGAGATACCACCTTACACCCACTTAGGATGGCTACCATAAAGACAACCACAAAAATAACAAGAGTTGGAAGGATGTGGAGAAATTGGGATGCTTGTCCAGTGTTGGTGGGAATGTAACATGGCAGGACACTATGAAAAACAGCATGACATTCCCCCCCAAATTAAAAACAGGATTACAATATGATTTGGCAATTCCCCTTTTGGATATATACCCACAAGGATTGAAAACAGGATCCTCAAGAGATATCTGTACACCCATGTTTATAGTAGCATTATTTACAATAGGCAAAAGGTAGAAGCAACCCAAGTGTCCATCCACAGATGAACGGATAAACAAAACGTAGTATGTGCATATAGTGGAATATTTTTCAGCCTTCAAGAGGGAGGAAATTGTGTTCCATGCTAATAATATGGATGAACCTTGAGGACATTATGTTAAATGAAATAAGTCAATCACAAAAAGACAATTCCTATATGATTCCACTTAGATGAAGTACCTAGTGTAACCAAATTCATAGAGACAGGAAGTAGAATGGTGGTTGCCAGGGACTGGCAGGGAGGGGAGGGGATAGAAAACGGGAAGTTATTTTTTAATGGGTACAAAGTTTCAGTTTTGCAAGACGAAATGTGTTCTGGAGATGGAATGTGGTGATGGTTGCACAACAGCGTGCATGTCCTTAACACTCCTGACCCGTACGTTTAGAAGTGGCAAAGGTGGTGAATTTTGTTAGGTGTACCTTACTAAAACTGAAAAGAAACAACTAAAACAACAACAAAAGAGAAATTTGATTATTTTAAAAAGCCACTGCCTCCTTGATCCAAATACCTGTCATTATGTCTTAGTTTTATAAGCTAAGGGAAGAGAAGAGTACTAGCCCATCTCTTAATAAAACCTCGAAGACTTCAAATCTGGAGATATCGGCCCACCAAGCCTTTCTAATGCCTTTAATTAACTTCATAATCCATTCTGATTCACATTCCCTCTGCCTGTTAGTTATTCACCTAAAGTTACTATCAACTTTTCAGGAGCGATGAAAAATGTGCTACTGATCCATATTCGCACTTGACCTTAAATACCAGCAAATGGATAAATCAAAACCATAGATTAATCATGAAATAGAAAACAGAGACTTTTTTTAGAAAAAGAAATGTTGTGTTTTAATTTGTCTGCTCCTGCTCGACCTCCAGATTAATAAGAGCAAGAACCTATCCTTTCTTGTTTGTCACCACATAGTACATGCTCAATTAACTCCCGGTGGCTCGGAGGAGCCAGCCAACTCCCAGCACAGCCACTATTCTTTGCCCAGAACGTTTAGGTTGTCATATCCTTTCTTTTCAAACATGTCTGTTGGTTGAACTTGGTGATGTGCTATGAAGAAAATCAGAGGAATTTCCAAGGAAATTTCATAGAAAATATTTTTTCATGAAGAAAATTTTGGGGAAATGGAGAGTTAAAATAAATAAATAAATAAACAAACAAACAAACAAATAAATAAATAAATATCTCATAAGACACAACACTTTGCTTTGGCACTGTTAACTATGGGTCAGATCACCTCTACAAAGTAAAGAGAGGCAATCTGAAGGAGTTTGTATCCTTTGCATAGACTCCCCTCACCCCACGTAACCCCCAGGAATGCCATTGCAATGCGAGGTTCAAACTGAAATCCCCTCAGTGCCGGGTGCTATCTGCTTCCTTCTAACTCCTCCAGAGTGAGCCGTGAAGTCACCCTGAAAATTTTACTCCTACTGGAACGATACCATTTTTCATAATTACCGAATTTTAATTTCTTTTATGTGAGTGTGCAGCCTTTCATGTATTGAGCCAATTAAGTGAAACTTGGTTAAAAATCAAAGGTAAAAAAGGGAATTTTGGTAGAAAGTAAAACAAGGAATTTTTAAAAGGAACCCAAAGTTGGAGGAGTTGTTATTGTCATTTAAAAGGGGAATTTTTTCCATTATGAGTCCAAAACCAGGGTCTGACCTGCAAGCCCTGATGGGTCCTATTACTCTTATTCTCCATGAATCTTCCTCCTCCTGCTGTCTTGGGTGGCGTCCGTTTCTCAACAGCAACCTGACAGTGTTCCTGAAATGAAGAACAGCCCTTCAACAACATCTAAACAGATGGGAAATTTAGAGCTTGAAACAAACACAAAAGACAGACTGGGACTGGGTGGCCACAAACATTTATTTTTGGTAAAACCTTATAATAACAAAAATGGTACTTTACCTGGTTTTGCTTGTAATCAGAAGGGTCACAAGCTGTGAAGGGGTGGATACACCTTCTCTCACTTTTACACCAAGCACAGCCAGTTCCAATACATATTGGGCATCTGGCAAAACGGAAAACCAACTTAATGCCTGCATTTTTAGGAAAATGTTCATATCCTAGAATTTCCCTCTGTGATGTGGTGTGCAAGCAATTAAAAGAAGATGGGAAAACAACCACCACCACCACCAAAGCCCTGGACAGACTGATGAACCCAGGGGAGAGAGGACAGTCCTCTGAGGCTAGGGCTAGAGCACCGAATTTGTGCCCTGCTCTGGGCAGCCCCCGGGGCTGATGGACCGTCATCATACCTGCAGGGCTGTTGCCATGGAAACCTGAAGCTGGGGTCACCTGCCGAGCTGGTAGATAACAGGAACCCACCGGCTCTGTTTCTGAATCGGGTTCTGCTATTTGTCTACCCTCAGGGAAGTTTCCCTCCGGAGACTGACCTCCCCGTCTCCACCCCTAGATCAGCATGCCCTCCCTCGCTGGACTAGTAACACCCCTCAACTGCCTGGAAGAGGCGAGACCAAAAGTATGGCCTGGCAAGTAGAGGGAAGGGGGCGCCACTGTTTGCTTTTTAATCAAATTAAGGAAGAACTGTGTCTACTAATCAAATAACCTATCACGTGAGGATAACAGCGGAGGACTTGAAAAGCTTGTCATAGGAAAATCGGAGTTGAAGGAACAATGAAACAGAAACTGAGGTTGGTCTGGGAACACAGCCATGGGAGGTCAGCCTGGGACAGCAAGAGGGCCAGTGCAGGGAGCGGGGACACCGCTCATATTTTAGAGTCTTCAAGAAATGCCAAAGCATTCTGTGACTCCGATCTAGAGAAAACTGCAGCTTTGATGGGAGGAGGAAACGCAGGCTCACTGAAGTGTTTATCCAGCCACCTAAGTGAGCTAGAAGCAGGCTTGTGATCTGCATTTGATGCCCCTCCGGTGTGAGTCCTGTACTGAGTGCTTTACTAAGGGAAGTAAGTACTCAAGGACAGGGCACACTCACCCTCTGGGGAGCTGTGCGTCTGAGCAGCTGGTTTGTAATTACCTAGTTGTGGGACCCAGGGACAGTCACTTCCTTCCGCCTGGCCTCTACACTGGGGAGGGAGGACCTGCTTTATGTTTCAGCTCTCTTTGAGCTATAAAATCCTTTGTAACTCTCCCCCTTTTTTCCTATTTCCACAGACTTCCGAGGCTTTCTGTATCAAGTTTGGTTTCTTCTCCCTCCCAAAATGCATCCAGTTTATTAGAAATAACTGAATTTGATCCCTCTTTAAGAGTGCCACGGTGGTGAAGACAGGGTCCAGCGGCTTCTATTCGGCTAGCGGTAGAGGGGCCCTCCAACTCAGTTTCAAGCCTGAATTCATTTTCCCCCTAGCAACAGTGGTTCTCAGGCCAGGCCAAATGAAACTCGCATTCGATACCCACAGAGTTGGTCAATCAAACGACTGAATGAACTATAGAATCACTAATAATACAGCTTCCCATTGTTTCCATGGGAACCTCCAACCCATCTTTCAACTGGAAAATCAGGAATCTGAGAAACACGTTTCCTCCCTGTCTTCTCTCTGCTTTAGAAGCAAGGAGTGCGGTGTGGCCCTAACTCAGGGGGGTACGTAGCCCAACATGGCCAAAGGTGGTACAAAAAGGTTGGCGGGGGGAGAGCGGTAGGTTGGGTGGGAATTAACATGTTCCTTCGATGGAAGAGATTTCATCTTCTCCTTCTCCTTGATGATTTCCCTTGCCTCATGCTCACCCCCTCTCCCTTGACTCAAATTCCCAAAGCCGTTCTGATCAGGGGAGAACATAACAGCCACCCCACCCCCCACCCCCCGCTGTACTCACTTGAAGGCATCTCTTGGTCTGGGAAAACGTATTTCCCTATTGGTAGGAACACTTAAGCACAGCTGTTTGTTCCTTAGCTGCTGCACCTTACTTATTAGGGCTTGAAGGAGCCAGCTTATTAGCTCAGGGGCCCTCCTATCTCCCGTTGGGCCATGCTCCAAAAGGCCCTTTAGAAAGTTCTACTCCACAAAAGAGTTCTTTAAGGAGGAAATGGAGGCATAAAGCAAACAAATAAATTAAAACCAATGAAAGAATATTTAAATTTCAAATAAAATCTTACTCTCTTAATGACGAGCAGTTGGTAAAGTTGAATCTTTTTGATAAATGCCAAGAACCGACGGAGAATGTCACGTTGACAACCAAAACATCTGGAGCAAAGGGGAAAAAAATGTCATTTACGATGGAGTCCCGCTATCGTCAAGCAAAGCTGTAAATGCAAAAAATAAATATTTTTGCCTCCTTTGCACAGAGGGTGGCGGTGTCCCAGCTGCTGGCATGTGGTTTGTTCCCGGGGGCCGTTTGCGTCAGGCAGCCGAAGTGCAAGCACAAGCCTCCAAACAGACCCAGGCCCACCTTGCGTTCCAAGCCTCCCATGGATAATCACTAGGAAAAAGCCATTTTACAGCCCATTTACATCTCATACTCTCCCCGGGATCACTATCTCAGCTTGTAATTGGCCACAGCCTAAGAATAAAACAAGTCACCGAGCAAGAACTGCCTGGAACATGACAACCAGAATGTTGGAGACAAAAATCCTGTAGCTTCAGCAAAATCCACACTGCCGATATTTGCCTAACAGACTCTAAGTGTGCTTCCCGTGGGCTGGGTTCCATGATCCTCTTGGAGTCAACTGTTGCCAAATCTATGATAAAAAGTTTTCTTATTTGCTTTGGAAAACATACTCACTGGGTAGAAACCCCTCAAAAGAATAAAGTAACAAGAAAGATAAAAACCGTGCTCAATCAGCATTAGAAAAATGTCATTGTTCCTGTATGTCCTCAACTTCTATATTCTATCCGAGGTGATTCCCAATCCCAGGAGTGTATCAGAATCACTTGAGAAGCTGATGGAAACAGATCCCAGAGCCACGTGCCTCGATATCCTGACTTAACACACCTGGAGAGCCTCTGGGACTCTGTGGTGGGCAACGTGCCCCATGATATGATTGTATGCAGCCGGGGCTGGACACAGAGCCTGGAGCGGTCCCCTCGAAGCCCACTGTGTCCAGGGACTGGTGCTCCTCGGTGAGGTTTTCAGTGTCATCCATTTGGGAGGATACTGTCTTCCTTTTATGAGTTAATGGAGACAGAGGATGAGACTTTAAAAATGAAAGGCTTCACTTAGCCAAATAAGAAGTTGGCATAAGTTTGTTGGCACCCTTTACTTTTCTATAGCGAAATTTTATTAGTGTGTGATTCCCAAAGTCTGAGAACCCTTAACTTAAGATACTTCTCTACAGTGAAAAAATTCATTCTGAAAGCCGGGATACCACATACAACTCTGCTCACATAAAGTGGTTACGTACGAAAGGATAACCCTCAACTGTAAAGACAAGGAGGTCTGAGGGCTGGCGTGACCTCTCAGCAAGAGCATTGGCACAGCTGTTCGTAAATGTTAGGAGAACGGACATACAGACAGGAAGCACAGAGAGACTCCCAGGGAAAGCACACTTCAGTGGAATCTACAATGTTCAGTGATGAACACCAGGAAAATTTGTACTTTTCTTCATGTCAGCCATGCACAAAACACTACTGGGAAATATCACAAGGAAACAAATATATTTGATCTCTGCTCTGGCAGCATTTACAGTGATTCTGCTAGAGATAAAATGGCTTAGGTGGAAAAGCCCAACAATGACAGGACTCAAGGAAACAGCCCATGAGTGGTTTGAGTTCCATGTAGCACCTGGCTACGCAGATGGAGGTGCCTGTGGGGACTGTGGGGGGTGCCCGAAGAGCTTGGACCGTTATGAAGGAAGTGATACTTCCTCCACGGTTTCAAAGCAGAAGGGCAACAGGATTTGATGAAAGGGGTGAGGGCACGGACAGAGGTTTGGCAATGACCACCCACTGGCTGAATGCACGAGGTGGGATGGGAGTTTGTTTGCTGGCTCAGAATATGCAAGGCATTCCAAGAAAAGGGCAGGCAGAGGTCGGGTGCAACGGATGGAGGCTCTAAACGCAACCAAAGGGCTTTACAAGGTGATCTCAAATACTCGAAAAACAGATTTTATACATGAGTAAGATCTGCATTATAATGAGCAAATTAACTAGAAGCCCATCACAAAGGCTGCATAGGGTAAACAAAGAAAAGTGGAGAACTGAAATCATTTTCCAAGTCACCAAGAGCCCAGGGGCTGAGAGGCATTTTTTAAGCTTGGGTCTCTGGCCTGGTGCTCTAAATTCCCTTTGGAGAGATTTGGGATGAACTGAGTAACACCAGTTCTCACCACGAAACTCAGGTCCATCATGATTTTCCCCCTTTTTAGGAGGCCTGCACCAATCTTGTGACCCTACTTCTAGTCTTTCTCTCCCACAGGGATTCCTGAATCCTCAGTACGTCCACCATAACTCATAACCATCCAGATTCTCTGGAATCTGCCTACTTCTCTCCATCCCTGTCTCTGCACCCGCTCTCACAGTCACCCCCCACCAGGATCACCCCAACAGCTTTCCTTCTATCTGATTTTTCACAGCGCACTCCTTTCCTTTTCTAGCCATCCTCCACCTGCAGCCATTCATTCATTCATTCATTCATTCAACAAAAATTTATTGATTGTAAATGGCTCTTTACACCAGATACTCTGTGCCTTCTTTGGTATCTATTGCTTTCCATCTGTCCCTACCCCATTTGCCTGAACCATATAGAACCTCTTATGGCTTTTCAAACAAAGCTTTTTTCTCTCTTTCTAGCCATCACACTAGTTAGTCTCTGCCTGGAATGCTCCTCCCCCTTTTCTTTGGCTCCACTCTATTCATCTTCTAGGAAGTTCTCCCCATCCCCTCAGCCACCTCCCAGGTTCGGTTAGGTGCCCCTTTCCTCTACTTCCCATGGCTCTCTATGCATTTACATGCTTCATTATAACAAGCCATCTACTTGTCTCTACCCCAAGAAGCTATAAATACTGCGAGCAAGAACCAGGTCTGTCTTTTTTGGTCACTGTATCCCTAGCACCTAGCACAGTGCCCAACACATAGTAGATATTCAATAAACACTTCCTTTCTGAATGAATGCAATGATCTTAAGATGATAGAACATTAGCTGTTCTATTTTCTCATCCCATCAAGGGCATTCCCAGCTTTTCTGATCTCTGAATTATCTGAACCCTTTGGGTAGGGGAAGCCCAATGATCTCTAGCTTTACCCCACTGTCGTCTCGAGCATCCCCTCCTCTGTCATTCTCCACTCACACGTAAGAGTGGGATGCTGGAGTCCTGGGAGGAGGGAGAGCAGGAGGTAGGCAGAGACTGAATCTATAGGGTGGGACTATACAGACTCCCTCACATTCAACTCGCTTCCTGAGCCATCTGGACTCAGGAGGTTCTCCTGCCTTCTTCACTTTCAAACAAAAAACTAGCAAAGAGTCCGCCTACCTTTGTAGGTCGCTCTGGTGGGGATGCTGCACGTGCAGGTCTTGCCTGGCGGACTTTTACCCCTGCAGAGCTGCCTGCCTGTGTCCAGGTTCTTCACCACACACTCCCACTCCGAGCGTCTGGGAGGGAAGCTTCCCACCACAGTGACTGTAGTCTGTGTGGGGAAGAAGAAGATTCAGGAACCATGTCATTGTTTTGGTACTCTCTCCATCCATCCTCGAGCCTTAAGTGAACTCACCCTTTGACATGCCAGAGAAGGAGAACTTCTCAGACTGCTGATGTAAAGAAAGAGATGTTTTGACTACTTTATTTGCCCTTTTGTCAATCACATATTCATATTCTTGGACCATTTTTCTGCTCTGTATTTTTCTTATCAGTTTTTAAGAGCGCTCTGTATAGATATTAATCCTTATCTGTCATATTTCTGACACATGTTTTCTCCTAATCTGTTTATCTTGCAACTTGTATGTGTGGTATCTTTTACCCCACACAATGTGTTTTATGTCGTCGTGTTTTTGCTTTGCGTTTTGTTATAAAGTTATTCCCAAACTTTAGCTTATAGACAAATACAAAATTGTGATCTTTGTTTTGTTTTTTAAACTTCTATCTGTAATCTATCTGGAATTTATATTTATATTTATTTATATATTTATATATTATATTATATTTATATATTTATATTATATTTATATTATGTATAAGGGTCCAACTTTATTTTTATCCAGATGACTAATCAGCTATGTCATAACCATTTACTTAAAAAATACCTTCCTTTTCCCACTGAACTGAAATACCGCTTTTGTCATATATTAAGTGACCGTGTATCTGGAATCTAAGTCTGAATTCTGCTCTGTTCCAATTATCTATTGATTTACTTCTATTCCAATGTCAAGCTTTTACTACTGTGATTTTAAATATATTTAACATCTAAAAAGGCAAACTCTATCTTTATTTTCATAATCTTCTTAGCATCTCCTAACATTGCTCTTCCATATAAATTTTAAGATTATCTTACCCAAATGGGGTGAGGAGACCATGAGTTTAATTGCAATTGTATTAAATATATGCATTAGTTTTAGGAGATCTTATATATTTGTGATATTAAGTATTCCCATCCAAACACATGATTTTTTTTTTTTTTCATTTGTTTCTGTTTGGGCCGGGGTTTATTTAAGAAGATGTACGTTCACTTCCCGGGTGCTAAGATACATTTTTCATTTCTTTATTTCTTACTGGTACTGTTATTAGATTATAGTTTTAAAGAAGGTGACCTATGAAGTCTGCTTAAAATTAAGGTTTTGTTTGTGGGCAAACATACGATCGGAGTTTTGGAGCGGGAGGCTGTGTGTGTACAGAACTGGATACCAAGAGAAAATCTTGAAATCTCCCCTAAAGCAACTTTTTCCCAAATGAATTATCTAAAGAAACAAGGCAGCCAGTTCTCATGTTGAAAGAGGGAAATTATCCCACCACAAAAAAGGAAATGCAATGTGATGGGATAGAGGTGTTAGCTAATGTTACGGTGGTAATCATATGGCAATATATCAATGTATCAAACCAACCCACTGTGCATCTTAAACTTGCACAATGTTCGATGTGATTGTATTTCAGTTAAAAAAAGAAAATGAAGGTTAGAAAAAAAAGGAAACTAAAAGAATTAATATGCCAATGGTCGACCCCTTTGGTGGCAGGTGCACAAAGGGTATCTGGTGGGAAGGTGGGCTAAGCATTAGGAAGATGGGAGCAGAGGAAGTGGTAACCTGCCAACTATGATGAAGAGCTATAGTCCCAGACAACCTGGGAGGTGTCCATCTTCTGTTATACATCTGACTTTAACCCAAACTTTAACCCAGCCTCAAACTCTGTTGTCTCTTGTCCTCAAATCAGCTTGCTATGTCTAATCTAGTCCTGGGGTCAGTTCCATCTTTCCATTTTCAAAACATTCTGTTTCTCAGCCATAAATCTTGCCAGAGAAGGCAAGTTCTTATAATCCAGCTTTAACTGGACTGAAGTCCAACCATCTGTAGCAGACTTGAGCATAGCAACGAAGCCCAAACTGCTCCCACTAACTCACCTCCAACAAATGGCTGAGCTCTCATTCACACTGCCTTCTTTGACCCAGCACTTATAACTTCACATACATCTCAGCACATGATCACATATTATCCTGTGTACATACAGGTCTTAAATTTATTTCATTACTCAAACACTACAACAACAGAATCAGAAATTTTTTTTGAAATCCTTTTTTCACCAGTTTTAAATTTTCCATATGTCCTTCCAGTTCTCACATAGCTTTTACGTAACTGTAATCATTGCATTTATTTGTTCCCTATTTATCAAGCTCTTAACATGTGCCGAGTGCTGTGCAAGGTGTTAAATGCTTTAGTGAACCAAATAGCTATGGTCCCTGCCCTCAAAGAGCTTATTGTCTAGTAGAAACATGGGGATGTCACCTTTTGGAAACTGGAGGCCATACAGTATGAAGAGATCTTCAAGAGGGGATAGAAGCCTGGACTAGGATGGTACAGTAGAGACAGAAAGAACTGACAGATTCAGGATACCCTTTAGAAGTAGCATGGGGTGAGACCAGAAGTAGGGCATGTTGATATGGAGAATTTTGGTAAGAAAAATGGATGGATGGAAGTACCGTCTACTGAAATGTGACACACAGAGGGAGAGGTAGACTTTGGGTGGAAAAATGCAAGATTTCAATTTTGGTTGTGTTTAGTTCAAGATACTTGTGTAATAATCAAGAGATAGGTCAAGTTAGATATGGGCCCGGAACTCAGAGGAGCAATCTGGGCTAGAGATAAAGGAGACATGAACACAGAGATGAGATATAAAAACAAAGGAGTGGGTAAAATGGTCTATAGACAAACTAGAGAGCTAAAGACAAGAAGAGCCTAAACTGGGTCTACAACAACTCCAGTATTTAGAGTCAGGGAGAGATGAAGCCAGCAAGGGAGGCTGAGGCATGGCCAGAGAGAAGGAAGTAAGCACGGACAGGGTGTGCCAAGGGAGGGAGGGCGACGGGAGAGGGGCTTTCAAGAACGCAGACAACAGACCAAGTAAGAGGAGGACTTATAGTGTCTGCTGGAATGGATACGAGGAGTTTGCTAGTGACCTCAGCAAGAACAGTTACAGGGGAACCCTGGGGCAGAAGCCAGGTTGGAGTTGATCTGAAAATAGCAAGTTTTTTCAAGTGCAATGGAAGGAGAGTGTAGCCAGGGAGCCGAAGGTATTTTTGTGTGGGTATGGGTTCCAGGCAAGTATAGATAAAAAGCTGACGCCTTGGCTTAATAAATCCAACCTGGGAATCCTTACCAGGTTCTTCAACTTAGAATATAGTTCCTTCTCCAACTAAGCTGGATAGAGAGGGAGTGAAGACACAAAGAATCAGATGAGATAGAAAGTTTGAGTGTCAATTAGCTAGTCATGTCCACGGCGCCAGAGAGCTTGCTGCGTAACATTCTAGCAGGTAGCAGACCTTATTTTACTTAACCATTCTGCTTATTGCCAAACAGTTTTTTTATTTCTAGGTTTCTCAGTCTACAAAGCTACTGAAGTGGCGTCTGCATGCTTACAGTTTTGCTTCTTTCAAGTTACTTCTTCAGAATTCAAAGATTAGTGGAATTAGTGTTTCAGATAGAATGAATTTACTTATGACTTTTGAAACAGAACATCAAATCGCTCTCCAAAAAGGCTATGCTAATTGGCATTGCCAATGCCAGGTGTTAGCATATTCTTTTCACTTTAATTTGTATTTATTAGATAATTAGTGAAGTGAACATATTCCACTAACTATGTCTAACTCTCTAAACCTCCTCTTGTGAGAATGTATGCTTTTGCCCACTCTTTGGTGTCCTGCTATTTCTCTTTTCAATTTCTCCTCGTTTTAATATCTTGCAATGAATATCTTTCCTGTTGCAAATGTTTTCCTGAATTGTGCTATAGTTATCTTTTTTGTTGTATATTTTTAAATGTCAAGTATATGAATATTTTTCCTTTGTTATTACATACTACATTGGTTCAGAGCTAAGAAAATTATATTTCCAATTATCTGGTACCTATTTCTATTTTCTGTTTTTACGTGTTAGCTTTTTATTATTTCTTAATCAGCTTAAATTTTTGTATTTAATGTAAAATGTGAATTAAGTTATGTTTCCATATTGTAAGTCTGTTATCTCAGCACCTTTTATGAAATAATTTTGTTTCCTCTTATTTTATGATATCTGATCTTTACAATTTTTACATTTCTTTCTGAGCTTTCTAGCCTATTTCCACGATCTATGTTCTTACTTTTAAACGGAATCATGGATTGAGTTATTGTCACTATCTACAAGTTTATAATCATATGGAAATGGTCTAGCTTAAGTACATTTCTGTTTTTTCAAAATACATTTTGGATATTCTTGACCAGTTCGCATTATTCCAGCTGATTTTAAATTACTTTTAAGAAGAAGTCTATTCAAATCTTCACTGGGATGACATGCAATCTAGAAAATAGGTTGAGGAAGAAATGACATTTTTATGGTATCTTCCTGCCCAGAAATGTAGTATGTATCTGGATATATTCAAGATGTTTTTCCTACCTTCCAAGAAAATACTTTGTGTGTTTTTATTTTTATTTTTATTTATGCTTATGTTTCTAATTGGTAAGGTTTCCCTATCATGAGTTATAAACAGCCTCAATAGACCACTGCCCCACTAATTACTGTTAGAAAGAATTGCTTAAAGCAAGCTATTGCATAGCCCAAATTACTATTTGTGGTAGCTGTCTTTAACATGTATCTTCTAGTAAAAGTGATTTTAAAATATAGGGTATACACCTCACCCTTTAAGTTTATGCCTGAGTGTTTGGTTGTTTTTAATGAATGGGATCTTTTCCTAATTGACCTCAACTCCTTTAGCTCACCTAACGTTATTGATCCTTGAATGTTTACTGAACATTTAGCACTTTTACTTCTAATTTGAATAGTTTTAAAAGCTAATATATTTAGATTTGGAAGATACACAACCACTTAAGATGAGCAAATAGTGATATTTTTTAATCTATTCCTTTCCCATAGTTATTTATATTACTTGTCTCTTGTATTACTGCACTAGACACAACTTTAAAAACAATGCCGGTTGTACCAGTGATGGTGGAATTCCTTGTTTTCATTCGGATTTGTAAAAGAATGTTTCTAGTGTGTCTGCCTTAAGAGTCCTGCTGTTTGTAGGAAATACTTCTATTTCTGTCTTTTCTGTTTTTATCAGTATTAGCCATTTTCACTGATTGTCACAATCTCTTTATAAGTATACAAACAATTTTGCATAATGCAAAAATGGGATGTCACACATCCTTTTTTTGTGTTTGTGTATATGAGAATTTCATTTTTCTTCTTTTTTTTTTCCTACCTGTCTCAGCCTTCCCTCTCACCACATCATCAGTCACACCATCAGGAGAGCCCATGTTTACGACCTAGTAAGAATTCTCTCATATTTTTCTTCATGCGCAAATAATTATATAGAGACATAAACATATACAGATCATGCTATATCAATAGCATATCATATATGCTATATATATCAATAGCATATATTGAGTTTTCGATCAATACAAGATCATGCTACACATACTTTTCTGCATCTTGCTGTTTTTGCTCAACAAAACCTCACGAAATCCCTCCAAGCCAACTGGAATTGTTCCAATTATTTCTTGTTAATGACGATTCTGTAATGAGGATGAGGATATACAATCTTCTAATTGTTTTGTGTAAAGAGATGATGATTCTTGGAAGCAGAGGCTCTGCATTATATCAGGGTCTTTCTGTACTCAGAAAGTTACTAGAATGTTACTAGGCATATGACGGGCAGGTAGCCAACACTCTTTGACCCGAGCCATAGACTACCATCTCTGTAGATCAGGGTCAGGTATTATTTAAATCAACAAAGATCTGGAACTTTCAGGTAAGTCACAGATGACCATAAGAGTAGGAAATATTTTGAAACAATATGACTAAGAGATGGCATCACATGTTTTATCAACGTTATCAAAATAATCAGTCTAAAGTTGGCTTCAAAGCTTACTAAATTCTTATCTCCTTTACCTTGAGAGTGATGGTAGCTGGAGAGCAAGGTAATGGTTGTGTGGGAAGGTTCTACAGGGATTTGGGTAAACCACAGTGGGACTCAGGGTAGAGAAGAAAGCACTGGTGGTTGTTTGGGTGGTAAATATTTTTTGCAACGTTCCAAACCAGATAGAAATGGTGATTAATTTATACAAGTGAACCCAAAGACTGGTAAGCAAATTGTGTAGACAGCATCTTTCATATAATGAACAAGTGACTTTCTCTTACTACATTTAGCTGAAGTATCACCCTTAAAATTTTCAAAATGATTAAAAAAAAATCTTGGGTAATCTTAACCATTTATCAGAGTCCTGGGTATATTCAAACATCATGGTATTTCTTTTTTATCATTCTCTATCAGGACCAAAGTTAGCTATTTTTCAGACTGATAAGAGAAAAATTTGACCACACCTATGCTGAGATACCTAAGCCTCTCTTCACACATTTTTTTCACTCTGACTCAGGGCTGGTGGAGGTTTGGATGAAGGCTTTGAAAGTTCTTTCTTCACCGCCTCCCCCCTCAACCTGCCGGAACACAGTAGAAAGTGACAACAGCCAAAGAACTTTAAATCCTTAAGTTCTGATCAGTTATGACTTGAAAGCTTTATTCTTTTATTATTTATCGCTCATTAAATGCTCTGGCTCTCCTTTATTAAATGTTAAATCATCTTAAGTGGTATGGTTCTTGCTATTTGAAATGGTAAAGTGTACAGGAAAAGAGAAAGTGGTCCATTTCCTTGTTAATGTGGCATTCAAATAAAACAGAGTGAGCTCAACAGACAAGTCAACTGGCTGCTGATGGGGATTCTGTACAATTATTCATAATACAAGAACTATAATTAGGGAGAAAATGTCTCCTTACAGCACCACTGAGATTACAAGGCAGGAATTCCATATTCCCATAGGGTATGGATGGTGTGTGAATCAGAAGATGCTCCAATCATATGCTGTTCATCGTGTCCTCTCTCTCATCCAGTGATAGGGCTGAAGAGCTACCCATGGTGGTACGGCCAGAACAAGAGCCCCCTGGCTTGCCAAGGAACCCCACTCGTGATAGTCACTGCCTGTAGTGGTTTCTTGCCCTCTCTCCCAGTAGTGCTTAAAGCCATGTATATAAGAAAGTTATCAGGAGAAGCCTGCACAAATTAGGGAAACAACCCTAAAATAAAATTCTACACTTAAGTCACATTTAAGGAATCTTGTTGACCATGAATCTGAACTTTTTTCTTCCTTTTTTTTATCAATACATTTTCCTACTACATTAATAGTCCATTTTTTTCTTTAAATTCAATGAACGAGGTCTACGAGATGACAGACTCCACGAGGGCAGGCTCGCCGTATGTCTTGTTCTCTGCTATTTCCTTAGCGTCTCGTAGAGTGTATGGCATCTGCCACCACTCAATATCAGTAACTAAATGAATGGACTCTCCTAACTAAGCTTCTTTAATGCTAGTAGATATTTCACACACGGAAGGAAGTTAGCATCAGTTGTGCAAAATGAGACATTAGAGACAAATTAAAATCTTTCCTCTTACCTCATCTTTACTGCTTCGAAATAGGTTAATTTGAGGGCATCTTTTGGCTCCCGATGAAATATCCAGCCAGTTTTCATAGTTCTCTGGATGTACACAATCTTCTTTAAAAGTACACCTATCAAAAAATGGAAAAGGCAACAAAACAGCAACCCCACACATGCATTAGTTAAAACTTCTCACACTTGGCTTGAGTACAGAATGCCAGGCTTTGGGCAGAGGGTTATTGATTTTGAGCGACAATGGGAACGTGATGCTAAAACCATGAAAAGCAACAGGACAACTGCAGGGCGTTTTTTCCATCATGTCTATGAGCAGAAAACAAATGTAGACAACACGCTGGACTTCGGCTCCCGTGGCCTCTCTCAGGATGACGTCACCAAATACACCCAAAGCACATCCTCTAGTGGATTCTAAAATTAAAGAGCTCCCTTCGAGAAAAACCTGGTGCAAAGGACAGCCCAAGAAAGGGTTTACATACTGTATAAATTTTAGGTTTGTGGTTCATTCCCAGAATATCAGCCTACTGTGGAAATCTTTTCGTTATTAAGAAAAAAATAAAGCTGTCTTGTGCTTTGTAGTCTGATAATTAAATATAAATATTTCAAGGGCAGAGTCTTCCCAAGAATGTGATAAGCCATTTCATAACCATCTGCTACATAACATTTATTTAGACAGACACCCAATTATATCAAAAGATATGGGTGCAACACTTTCCAGGGCCACCTTCCCAAGTCTGTCAGCACAGAAGATGTCCCGAATAAATCTTAAACTGTGGCCTGGGCCAATTCCTCTAGTAAACATGACCAGGAGCTAAAGGGGGAGAGCACTCCTCTGCTGGATGTCTCAGCCACTTTAGGTCACGCTAACTTGGGAACTCCTGCCTCACTGGAAGGGCCAGCAAACCGACAAAAAGAATGAACAGCAAGGGCCATGGTATTCTCAAAGGTGTTGAACTCCACAAACATTCCACTGGATGATATCAAGAAGAGACCAAAACATCCCTGTTACCTATGCCTCCTCAAGGCCTGAGGTTAAAATGGAGGGGTAGAGGAGAACGAGTGACAGTAAGTTTGAAAAGAAGTGGAAAATTCATGAATCACAAGATTGAAAAGCAACGAAGTGATAAAGGCATTCGTCTGTGGGGAGTCCCTCAAAGGGTCAGAGTGGGGCGGGATGTGGTCCCTGAAAGAGTATCTGACTTCACAGACATTTTTACTTCCTCTTCTTCCTCTTCTCTCCTTTTTTCAATTTGTAAGAATGTAGGCCCCAAGCCTTCGTTTTTGAGCTCTGTGCTAATTTGAATATGACCAAAATAGAACAGGAAGCTGGTGAGTTTCATTAAACATCATCCTCGGGCACAGTGCTTTGAGCAAGTGTTGGGGAACCCTGTTTGCTAGGAGCACATCTGTGTCCGAACTCCCCTACATCTGTGTGGGCTCCTTCTCCAACGTCCTGACCGTTGGGATTTTCATCAGCAGTTTTCCAAAGCCATCAATTCATCCGACCCTTGATGGCTAGCTCGTCCGTCACGGACATTAAGTTCAAATTAAACCGCCTTTTGGTGTCAGGGAGAGTTGGCCACAGAGGGACGAGTGCGGCTGGATTGAAAAACAGGATGACGAAGTTGGTTCCTTATTCTGGATTTGAAAGAGATTACGACTGTCAAAACTACCGGCCTCTCTTGGGCACTCTGGTTCGAATAAGACGCTCCCTCTATTTGAAAAACAAAACAACAACAAAGCCAGTTCTAGAGCGAATGGAGTACAAATATTGTCGTAGGCTCCTAATGCTGCCTGGAAGTCAAGGCCTAAGGCTGCCAAAAAAACAAGTGTAAAATATTTCACACAAAAACTGCTGCAATTTGCCAATTTGTAGGCAGAACACAGTAGTGCCACCGAGTTATCACCCCCTTTGCTGAACTCCTCTAGCTTTTCTTGTCGGAACCACACATTTTGGTATTTAATCATATGCTGTGTTGAATTACAACTTAACTGTTTCATATGTTGGTGTCATTTCTCCCCCCCCGCCCCCCAAGGAAGCTCTAAGCTCCTCGAAGGAAGGGAGAATGTCTTTTTTTTTTTTAAGATTTTATTTATTTATTTGAGAGAGAGAGAATGAGAGAGAAAGAACACATGAGAGGGGATAGGGTCAGAGGACGAAGCAGACCCCCCGCCGAGCAGGGAGCCCGACGCGGGACTCGATCCAGGGACTCCAGGATCATGACCTGAGCCGAAGGCAGTCGCTTAACCAACTGAGCCACCCAGGCGCCCCAGGGAGAACGTCTTTAAGGTTTCTTCAGCAAATCTCTCAGTGTCTGGCAGCATGATAGGCGAATACTAGGGTTTCAATAAATATTTTTGAATGGATGGATGAAATATGAAATCTCTATAGGTCCTTTCTGTGGGTGATTTTTCTTTCTAAAGTTTTCTTCTAATGTAAGTCTAATTCCTACTTATGATAAAGAGACTGTTTTTAATGTAAGCTAAAAGTTCAAATCTGGGGCCAGAGAGGGAGCCGATTAGAAGTTTTCAGTTTATCTTTTAGGGAAAAAAAAAGAAAACATATAGCGAACCTTTTACTTCCTATTTTGTACAAGGTAGAAACAAAATCTAACCATGTTAAGCAACTAAACATATATTTCTCACTTCTAAAACACCTCTGAAATTGCTGAACTCCCATTTCTTGCTTTTCACCAGTAAAAATAATTAATTTAAAAAAATAACACAGCAAACCTTGACACCAAGAATGTGCAACCAGATGGTCAACCAACAACAGCATCTTATTACTTCTCCAATATTGCAGATTATAAAGTCTTCATGACAGCATGTTACCCACACATTCAGATTTCCTAAGGAGGGGGAGCAGATCTTAGAGCCCCCGCATTTTAGTAAAATAAAAGCAGTTATTTTGAAATTATCCCTTCCGAAAGCTATCGTTCTTAATCCTATGTATCACAAAATCAATGGTCAGGTGGCAAAGATACTTAAACCTTTGTCCAAATGAAATTAAAATCTCATGGTCGGACACAACTCTCAGTGAGGCGATCCTCAGTGAGGTGCTCTCAGGTAGGCTGATCTCTTAAGTGGCTTCATTTCAATTTCTTCAGGCCACAGATAAGGGGAAAATTGGATTCAGATTAGAATGAGCACATTCTGGAGAGAACAGCAAGCGACAGATTTGCTTCCCTTTCTCTGTGATATGGCTACGACCCCAACTTCTACTGACGGTCTACCCAAAAGCCCTCAGACATCCAATCACTATTTTCTTTTTTTTTTTTTTAAGATTTTATTTATTTATTTGACAGAGAGAGAGAGACAGTGAGAGGGAACACAAGCAGGGGGAGCGAGGGAGAGGGAGAAGCAGACTTCCCGCCGAGCAGGGAGCCCGATGCGGGGCTCGATCCCAGGACCCTGGGATCATGACCTGAGCCGAAGGCAGACGCTTCATGACTGAGCCACCCAGGTGCCCCCAATCACTATTTTCTTTTTCCAAGTCCTTATTTCCAGCTGATCTCATGCCTACACCATAAGGCCAATATGTAGGCACTCGCCTATTTGCAAATCAGGAAATAGAACCTGCTCAAATGCAAAGAAAAGACTGTCTGAAGAACACAAACCCAAACCAAAAATAAAACAAAAAACAAAACCATTTTCCTTAGGTGAAAAACACAGTATGTGGAAATACTTTAGTGAAAAAAACTAGTTAAGAAGGCTTGTTCTTATTAGTTTCTATGAAATCTGCTGTAAAGCCTAATCTATTCAAAACAAGAACAGACTTTGATGCTGTCCATTCAACTATGTAAGTACATGGACCACCCCCTCGCCTCACCCCCAGCTCACAAAAAAGTATGTTCAAAACCTATCCAGGCTTGAACTCTTGAACAGAAAGGTTCCAGACCCTTGTTTCTAAGTTTGCTGTTTGGAGTTCAGAAAGTATTTTCACGGTATGGGTTTGCTTCCCGAGTTCATGGAAATCTGGCTAAACCCAAATATCCCCGAATAACTAGCTCAGCATGCACCTGCAAGGAGGGAGCACTGCCCCATCCCAGGCCCTGGTCTGCGTGCTTACAGGTGGCACTCCCACGTTAGTCCTCCCAACCACCTCATTCTATAGGCACGAAACAGAGGCTCAGAGAAGTGCAATAACATGCCAACGTCACGCAGCCACAAGTGACAGAAGTCTGCCTACAGAGCCACCCACTTGGCCACCCTGCCGCACGGCCTCCTATGAACCCTAACTACTCACTTAATAAGGTGTGAAAGGGTGAAGACATTCAGGGTTCCTCCTGGCTTCCTGGGGCCTCAACAGGGGTTGGGGAGGGTGGGGCTGGGCCAGGATGAGCACCCCAGGACAGAGTCTCTCGAGGTTGAAAGGACAGCAAGGACTTGAGGGAGAGGGGGGATTCTGAGAGGCCTCTGATTTTCAACTATCGCTAGCCCTGAATACAAAACATCCATCTGCAGGTTAAAATCCCAGGAGGTTCCCAATTCACAAACCTATTACGCACCCCCCAATTTGCTTGCTACCCATCTGTTTGTAATATGGAATACACTTTTCTCCCCATAGAAATAATGTTATGAACAGTGATTAGGTCTCCAGTTTAGCCCACAAAACCTATTTACCCGTAATGTAACTTCAATGCTATATATTTGCAATAAAGAGTAGCAAGAAACAATGAGATTACAGCCATTTGCATTATATAGCAGTTTTTCTTCTATTTTACTTATTTGTTTTTCTGTTCAGCTGGTAGTCTGGGAACAGTGCCCAGCTGGATCGACTTTTAAATTTATTACTACACTATTATATTTATACAGTATTTCTGGTTTTTTAATGGGCAGGATTTAAATTATTAATTGTTTTCATGCCAACATAAAGAATAGGGAGACCCACCTCTGAAAAGGAGCTGAAGTTCCCAGGCAGGTAAAATGCCTGTAGGCTGGGCTAGGGGACCTTGGAATCTGACTCTATTAGGCCAGGATCTCTCTCTTTTTTTTTTTCTCTTGTTCAGTGAGACTTTATTGGTCCTTAGAATGACATCTCAGTTACCAAGGTAAATTTCACATACACGACTGCAGGTAAAAACATGTAAAATAATATAAAAATATATTGAAGGCT